TCCTGAACACTTGGCCGAGCCCAGCATCTGGATGACTCGTTGGGTTTGATTTCCTGTCTGCTGCAGGTCAAGGATTATGTCACCACCAGTATATTTATCCTGCTAATTCGATTCAGATGGTTCCTCTTTTATTTCCTCGGCCCCTCCTTTAGAGGGGAACCATAAACCCTTTTTGTCCCAAAAAAAAAAAGCAGGGGCAGAAAAGCTGAGCCTGTGGAAGCTCCTGCAGTGGATAATGGGTTCCTCCTGCCACTCTGGTCCCTCTCACACGTGGGGAAGGAGCTACTCCAGAGTTTTGGGACTTTGCTGCTGGAGGATGGGGGGAAGAATCCGGGATCCAGGATTTCCACAGCTGGGATTCTGCAGCTGTGTGGGAAAACCAACAACCATTTAAACCCAAGGCTAATCCTGTGCTGAAATACAGAGTTTTAGGGTTCTTTTCTCACCCAGATCTAACAGAAGAACTTTCTGTTCAAGAATAATTAATTCATTTATCATTTTTATTTCCTTAGGGACATGAAGATGCTGCCAGGGCTGGAGCCCCTCTGCTCTGGAGCCAGGCTGGGACAGCTGGGGGGATTCACCTGGAGAAGAGAAGGATCCAGGGACACCTGAGAGCCCCTGGCAGGGCCTAAAGGGGCTCCAGGAGAGCTGGAGAGGGACTGGGGACAAGGCATGGAGGGACAGGACACGGGGAATGGCTTCCCACTGCCAGAGGGCAGGGACAGATGGGAGATTGGGAAGGAATTGCTGGCTGGGAGGGTGGGCAGGCCCTGGCACAGGTTGGGCAGAGAAGCTGTGGCTGCCCCTGGATCCCTGGAAGTGTCCAAGGCCAGGCTGGATGGGGCTTGGAGCAACCTGGGCCAGTGGGAGGTGTCCCTGCCCATGGAAGGGGGTGGGATGGGTGGGCTTTGAGATCCCTTCCCACCCAACCCATCCTGGGATTCCATGACATGTGCCCAATCCAAGGCAGATTTATAATGCACCTCATTAATTCAAATTGCAGCCGCTCTCTGCTCCCACTTTTAGCCCATTTTCTGCTACAAAAGCCCTCATCTCTCCCCTGGCTCCCTGGAGGGCAGAGGGCAGCCCAGGATGGATGTCCCCACCCCCCTGGCAGCTGGCCCAGCTCTCCACAGGCTGGGACTGCTGGTTTTCCTCGGGATTGGGGGGTTTCTGGGCGACATTCCTGCGGTTTGGTTGGTGGTGGTTTGGAAACTGGGGTGGGGGATTGTATTATCAACATCCTCCTGACAGCAGGAAGGGGCTTTAGAGGAGGAAGGTCTTGGCACATCCCACAAATTCGGGGTTTCTCTGATCCCTCAGAGCTGATCACAAACACACTCTGGTAAATTAGGAAATATCTGACCAAAATGATGAGTTTCCCAGGTCCCTGAGCAGTGGAAGTGTTAATGGCAAAGCCCAAATTAAACGATTGTAGCACGTGAAGCCGTGTCAAATTAAAGTCCAATTACTGAATGCACTCAAAGCCCATTTATGGACGGAGCTCCCTGTGCCTGGATCTTTCTCTCCTCGTGGAGATTTTGAAGAACCGAAGTTTCTCACTTCAATCCACATAAAAACTACTCCAGTATTTGACTGGGAAGAAAGGGAATTTCTAATGGGCTGGGACCCTGCAAAGGCTGCATTAATATTTATCTGGCAGGAGACTCTGACTCTCAGCCATGCTCCTTCTCCCAAAAAAGCAGCAAGAAAATCCCCAAAGCCTCAGCCCCTTCCTTATCCTCCTGCCCTCGTTTTGGTGTCTGTTTCCCAAATCCCTGTGCCTCCTCTTCAAGAAAAAAACCCTCAGTTGCCAAGGAAACCCAGAGAGCAGGGAATTGGCAGGGTTTAGCACTGTTACAAAGAGCTCTGGGAAGGCACTTGGAGTCGGGATTGGAGAGGGATGGGTTGAGCCACCAAAGGGACACCCAGAGCTCCGAGTCCACCCCGGGCCAGCTCCGGAATTTGGAATTATCCTGGTAAGGTTTGACAGCCTTCTCCTTTTTCATCCAAGAGGGAGGAGCACATCTTTCAGTCCAGCTGGGCTGCCCCTGGATCCCTGGAAGTGTCCAAGGCCAGGTTGGAGCAACCTGGGCTG